GTGTAGAATAGTGAATATCTAAGTAACTACAACGGATCATAAAAAGAAGAAAACAGAAGATAAAATCCCTTTTATCCTTTTGTTCAAATGCAAAACTTTCATCCAATGAATTTGTGTACTTAAAATCCGAAAAAACACTGAAAGTCGACTAATGATTTGATGGGTTATCGTGACCGGCAAGCATAATAGTAAATAGCTACTAGCTAGGAAGAAGATTTTTTTGTGCCCGGAATTAATCCTTTGGTGGGGTTAACCCCGGGGTTTTTTTGAAAAAATAAGATGTTTTTTTCCTTTCAAAAAATATCTGGAACAAATTTTATTGTTATATAGAAACATTTAGAAATGTTTTAGAATATGATAATCTTCAAAACAACGTATCACACAAAGTCCAACGTCACAAACAACACACTGATAACGTGTATCGGTATGTTTTTTCTCTCGTCTGCTTGTATGAGTACAAACTATACAAGATCTTCGTGCAATTTGCTTATGTGGAAAGACACGTGTAGAATAATAAGAATTTATTTGGGTTTTGTTAGGATATATATATTGAAAGATGTAAGTCGCTCCTTGTTTAGAATCGCAGTTTCATTTATACGAGAGAACGTATTGAAAAAGAAAAGAAAAACAGTACATCAGAATATATTAGAACGGGGTAGAATGTGAGAAGTAGGCGTATCAGAACGTAAGAGAGAGCACATAATACACACATAGCTATACGGAACGATGATGCAATAGTGTTACCAAGATAAGAAAAAAAGAGAGGAATCTTTTCGATGAAGCTTAAATAATATTATAATCACGATAATATGTACAAAGCTTCAACACGCATATATGCGTGTCCCGGCGCCAAAGAGTTAAGACAAATTTGTGCCCAGTCCGGCACAAAATAAACTTTTGACACTATTGTGCCCGGAGACAGATATGTGCCCGAATTTGATTGATTTGTGCCCGGCTTTAATTAGATTAGGAATAATAATGAGAAAGGTTATTATCACCATTTATTTATACATATTATTTGAATATATTCAAGTTATCACGACAGATATCACTTGTGACATACGTCTATATGTTTATGTACAAGATGCATAAAGCACTATACAGTATACTGTATAGTGCTTTATGCATCTGCACTATACAGTACTCACTATACCAGACCGGCAATGTTGATCAAAGATCTTTTTCGTAAAATTCGATTGATATATTATGCACAAATAAAGAATTCGAAGTAATCATTGGATCATCCTTGTTCAAAGATAGCCCTATAACTGAATTCAGAAAGAAATTTTCAAGTTCAACTTACTTTAAACCATGGCTCGGAGAGAGTGGAATTTTGCAGAAGAATTTTCTGATGAGAATGATATAAAATCATTTATAAAACAAAATAATGTTTCAATAAAACGAACCGAAACAATAGCTCTTGGAAAAAAAGTAACATATCGATGTACCCAAGCTAGAAAATATCCTGAATGCGATTTTCAAACTCGTGTGATCTATTACAATGATAAAAAAATTGCTGTGTCAACGTCTAGTGAACATAATCATGATAATTGTGGTAGTACAGCTCGCGTTCAATCATCTGTTAGAGATATTATCAAAAGATCAGTAGCAGCTGGACTAACTCAATCTCAAACACGTCATGTTGTACAAAATGAATGGCGTTGGCATGCTGATTCACATGTTTTTCCTTCAACATTTAATCTCCAATACAATTCTATATTATGGTTACAAGAATATTTTACGTTACCATGGACACAATCGGACAATTTTTCTCAATAGATCAAAGCTGGCTGACTTATTACAATTCCAATGACTTGTTCATGTAGATCAAATTTGAAAACATATGTATGT